ACAGAGTGGGTTGGAGAAAGCTGGTCGGCGGCCTATGCTTCATTGGGAGTAACAAGCGAAAGTAAGTAAGTAAGTAAGTAAGTGAAATAATAATAATGATGGGACAAGCAGTTCAGTTAGCAAAGGTAAAACCAGAAAGAATTCTTCCAGTTAAAGAAGATATGTTCATTTATTATGAAGAAAGCAAAATAAAAGTAAAATAGGACCGCCACCGGTTTCTATTCCGAGCCATGTTTGATAACGTCTCTAGCCACTGTGTAGCACCATTTCTAGGACCCCAATCAGGAAACCGGAAAGGACCAACAGAAGCCAGCCCTTTGTAGCTTTCTTTCATACCACGACACCATGTCATACACTGACCACCTTTCCGCTTTTTCCAACCAGTCCCAGCGTCGGCAAATAATGCACGACGTGGAATTCTCTGGGACGACATTCGTAGAACATATCCAAGGGATCCAATCGATTAGTGCTGTCTCAGCCCTGGCGCTTAATGAGACAACAACGCCAGCAAAATCAGACGAAAATGCCACAGGGCCCCCTGATAAACGCACGTAAAACAGGCTTTTCAAAGTGGCAGATAGAGAGCGAATTTGTAGTACTTCACTAGAGTCTTGAATACGGGTCTCGGATAGACAACAGACGTCGATATTGACTTTTTAAAGACATAGCCAGCCCCAACTGTTGTCCGATCTGCATTAGTGTGCGAACGTTGAAGGAAGCTAGTTTGAATGGTGTACGTGGTTTCAGAAAGAGTGTTTCAGCATTCGTATTCGGTGGTAACACTCAACTTTCGATCAGTCAGTGACTCGAGATCATTTAGGTAGGACAAGGTTTCCACCATGGGCGAGCTGTTGCATAAGTCAGAAAATAAAAATACACAATACAAAAGATCTAGTCAGAGGGCACAATTCATGATCACCTAGATGAAGACTAATCTTAGTAAGCTGTATTCCAGTACCCGATATTCCGACTACAATCTAATCACTGGTATCATTAAAAGTTTGACTAAAAATGTTCGATGGCAATTAATTTATACATTAAAAGTTCGCCTTTGGAAAAGGTCAAAGTAAAATTAAGTGAAAAAAAGCTAACTTACAACCACACGAATAATGAAAATCCAGTGATATAAAAATTACGTTGAGCACGGAACATACGCATCAAGTAAAGAGATTCTGTTTCTGGACGCATTTCATGAGGATGATCTTTAATTGAATTATAGGCTTGTCTCAGTACCCATACATTACGAAGTGCTTCTATGAACAAAATTTCAAAAAAATCGATAACACTTATAAGATGGTATTATGTACACAAATTACAAACAAAATATTCAAAACAAAACAATCACTATACACCCTTGAATAGGAGGATTATAACTAACAGTCAAATTCGAGACTTGTTGACTGAATTTACCTTCATTCTGAAGCTGATATTCAGGATACTTAGATCTAAATACATCTAAACGATGAGTCCCAAATAGGACAAAGCGTGTCACCTAGCTATAATCTATCTATTCTAAATAACTGGAGAACAAATGGCTATATTAACGCAACAGAGGCAAGATACATATATCCTAACAAAGATTGATCAAAAATCAATCTCGAATAACAGCAATGGGATAATACAAACTCTTAGTAATAATGATATAAACATACAATTGAATATAATATCATTCTCTTAGTTAACCATTTCATTTCTCGATTTCCCTCAAATGCCCTGGTACGGCTGAGAGTGGGGAGAGTCCGCTCTCCCTCTCGAAATGCTCTCACATGGCCACGCGTATACAACCTCTGCCAGGGAAGTTCTACTCACTGCCTTCTCGCAGTGTTGTTTACGCAATTAAGAGGACGAAAAGCCAATGTCTGGAGCTTCAACTGGGTTGGTGGACACGAAAGTCCATCTAGAGGAGTTGGAAAAACCTGATTCCAAACTAATGGTGAACATGGGCTGGCTCCAGTATCCTGAGGGAACAAATGGCGTATGAATCAATTGTTGGTCACCGGCTACCATGGGACTGCATCTCCTTACGATGCTCCATTGCCTTGTGGATCAGATCTTTAGGTCAAAGGCTCAGGGTGTGGCCCCCTATGAAAACCACCTACTTTGGTTTGGGCACCTGGGCAGTATCACAGCTCTCACACAAATCAAATGAGATTTGTGTGGCGCATATGTATCTGGTGCATCTTTGTACCAATATTTATTTGTTTAAATAAATAAATCATTTCTCGATTACAATAATTCTTAATATCCCATACTATATACCGAAAAACTATAACTGTACATTGAATTGACTAGGTACTTATTAAGTTACGAAGTCGTAGAAAGGTTTGTTCAGTTTTTGTTTTAATTTTGATTTCATACAACAACGTCATTTCGAATATGATATTTCATCATATTAATTTAACATATTTCCTTAGCATTTTTGGAACCGTTAGATGTTTTTTACTAGTTATCAATTCATTCAATATTTAGGTATAATAAGTTGTAAATTACTTGGAATGAGGGTCAATGTAGAAGCCTGATATGTATGGATTGACCCAATTCGCTATATGAAATTAACGCAAAGAGTTAAAAATAACGAAATCAGTAAAAATGGCATGAAGATAACCTATTATCAATGCTTCATCAGTCAATCAGCCATTCATATGCAACGTAGAACCTGGAACGCACGTCCATCAGTACAAATTGTGATACTGCATTATTTATTTTTATTTAAACACATAAATATTGGTACAAGGAAGCACCAGATAAATATGCGCCACACAAATCTCATTTGATTTGTGTGAGGGCTGTGATACTGCCCAGGTGCCCAAACCAAAGTAGGTGGTTTTCATAGGGGGCCACACCCTGAGCCTTTGACCTAAAGATCTGATCCACAAGGCAATGGAGCATCGTAAGGAGATGCAGTCCCATGGTAGCCGGTGACCAACAATTGATTCATACGCCATTTGTTCCCTCAGGATACTGGAGCCAGCCCATGTTCACCATTAGTTTGGAATCAGGTTTTTCCAACTCCTCTAGATGGACTTTCGTGTCCACCAACCCGGTTGAAGCTCCAGACATTGGCTTTTCGTCCTCTTAATTGCGTAAACAACACTGCGAGAAGGCAGTGAGTAGAACTTCCCTGGCAGAGGCTGTATACGCGTGGCCATGTGAGAGCATTTCGAGAGGGAGAGCGGACTCTCCCCACTCTCAGCCGTACCAGGGCATTTTGGGGCAATAGGTGTATTTAGACTATATATAAAGGTAAGACTGTCACGAATAAACCATTAACAAGTGTCAGAGGGAGATTAGTACTTTGTGATAAAACGCACTTTCTGTAGTTGAACTGTTGAGGGAAAGGAGAATCCAAAATAACGTAACTTCTACGTTTGGTATTTAACAAGACATAACTAAGCAAAGTGTTCAAGGACTTAACAGATTTACAACTCTGGAATTTATCTTATTCAACTAATTACCCAGGCTGCCAAATGATTTGATACTAGAGAAACAAAACAAAATATTTCAGGTATGGGAAATCAACCCCAGTTAAACAAAGAGGAGTAACAAATGACACTCCGAAAGTATCATCAAGAATTCCTAGACACTGATTCTTATTTGCCCCATGGGATAACTTCAATTTATATGAGTCCTCCAATAGTAATTTGCATTTAAATGCCAATAAAACCTATGATATACATTTTACAAATTTCCATTCGGATTATTAAGAGTAAATCTTACGGCCTTCTCTTAGAAGATTCGCCTGTCAACTCTTTATCTCAAATATCAACCTGAGTAACCAACTAACAATAGTTTCACAGTTATCTCTAACCAAGCATGATATAAGTAATGACATCTGTAACATCAATCCACGAGCTGAGATGCAGCCTTACTTACGCCTGTTACCCCCGATGGAGCATGGGCCACCAATCAGCACTCTCCAACCCACTCTGTTCTGGGTCTTCCTTTCTAGTTCCATCCAGTTCTTGTTCATTCTCCCCATATCTGTCTCCATTTCTCGGCGTAATGTGTTCTTTAGTCTTCCTCTTCTCCTTTGCCCTTGAGGATTCCAGGTGACGGGTTGTCTTGTGACGCAGTTGACTGCTTTCTTGAATGTGTGTCCTATCCACTTCCTGATTTCTTCATCCTCTGGATTCTGGTTTGTTCTTCCCCACAGTAGGTTGTTGCTGATAATGTATGGCCAACGGATCCGAAGTATTTTGCGTATACAACTGTTAATAAACACTTGTATCTTCTGAATGATGGCTTTCGTAGTTCTCCAAGTTTCCGCCTCATACAGTCGAATTGTCTTAACATTTGTATTGAAAATTCTGACTTTCCTGTTGGTTAGCAGTTGTTTTGAGTTCCTAATGTTCTTTAATCGTAAATATGCTGCTCTTGCTTTGCCGATCCGCGCCTTTACATCTGCGTCAGATCCACCGTGCTCATCAATGATGCTGCCCAAGTATGTGAAGGTTTTTACATGCTCCAAAGTTTTTCCGTCACGTGTGATTTGATTGGTGCATGTTGTGTTGTATTGGGGAATCTGAGATACAGTCTCAAGATGATAAAATACATTCCTGAGACCATCGGTTGTTTATCATGTACATTTAGTCGATAAGCTTTGACAATATTTACAGCTTTTTGTGAAAAATGAAACAAAAACATATGTTTTACTTACCAGCTAACACGCATACCAACATTACGAGAAATAAACGAAAATAGAATGATGATTTTTCTGAAATCTTCTGGATTATGCTGAATTTGAAAAATTTGCTCCATCTATTTCAAAACAAAATGATAACTAACTAGACTTGGAATGTATGTAGATCTTACGTTTGTGATGAGAAGAATGGAAGAATCATCAGCAGAACAACGAACATTTCACTATACAAGAACGCTACAACTATATGCCACAACATTTTTAATTCTTTAAAAAAAGAGAAAAGTGGAGAAAAAGCAAAACAATAATATTGCATGACACAGTAAGTGCAACATATGGATTTAAAAAACGTCAGGTAATTTTATAATAATTTCTTTATGAAATGTTCATTTCTATAGCGTTTAAGTGATGTGTAACAAATAATAATGTTTACAGCGTATGTAGACAAACAAACAAGACAAATATCTTTGTGAATAAAAAATAAGATATAACACAAGTAAATTGAGCCCAGAACAGAAATACAAGACAGCAGTATTGATAATTTCATCACTATTCTCGATTCAAGACAACCTGTAAAATAAAACGCACCGAGTATGGAATTGAGCTTGTTACAACGAATTACTTAGCAAAAACATCAGAGTGTAGTAAAATAGACCATACACTGGATTTCTTTGGGTAAATATGGCGTTCCCATTAGAATTAATCGGTAATCCAAGTCCTCGGCCGTATCAGAGTAAAAGAAAAAGCACACAAACATATTCTTACTTTGATGTCAACACATTCGAACAACTCATATATTCGGAAACATCACAAAATGCACGGTACTCTTTGTTTGATTCCTTTGAATGCTCCACATGTAATGCATAAATACATATTAAGATGCCAACTATACAGGAGGAAGACATCAGTTTCGATGTTTCGGCAAACATTTCCTGAGCTTCTTCTACAGGAAAGCAGAAAGATAAACTGTTACCAGAATATCTATACAAGCATTTTTATTAAAACACTTGTTTGAGGCTGGCACTATTAGGATTAGCTACAGCGTTTCAGACTACAGAAGATTGAGATGACAGTCTGAACCAACTATGATCAGACAACTGTTGCCAGTGAGAACCACAGACCACCGTAAAGAGGTGTCCCGAAGCGACTATTTTCGTACGTTAAAAGGCGGACGAAACGTAGTGATGGTATCCCCTCATTACTGTTAAGCGAAAATTCAGCTTTATTGGCTGAATCTGATCTAGCGAAAGCGGAGACATTTGCTAACTACTTCAGTGAAGTCTACTCTACGTGTAGTGTTACAACTACTTGTCCCGTTGACAATCAGATACCAGCCATAGGACCTTTACACGTGACAGAGGATACTGTTCTTCCTTTGATAACTAACCTAAAACCTCGTAAGATACCAGGCCCCGACGGGTTACACCCACGTTTACTGTCGTCGCTTGCGGACATTATCTCAAGACCGCTCACGATGCTCTTCAACATGTCCCTTTCACAGGCTCAACTACCTAGAGACTGGAAAGACGCTATAGTTAGTCCTATATTTAATGATGGTCAGAGACGGATCGTATCTAACTACCGGCCTGTTAGCCTGACCAGTATAGTAGTTAAGTTACTTGAAAAATTAATTCGGGCGAAGCTACTAAACCACATAGATTCGTACAATCTGTTAACTCCCTAGCAACATGGGTTTCGTAACAAGCATTCACGCTTGACTAACTCATTGCGAGAGAGGATTGGACAGCTGCCCTAGACAACGGCCAGTCTGTCGACGTGATATTCATAGATTTTAGCAAAGCGTTTGATAAGGTTTCACACTTAGGTCTTATGCAAAAGCTCTCGAGCTTTGGAATAACAGGTGCTATACAAGAATGGATAGGAAGCTTCTTATGGGACCGCAGACAGAGAGTAAGGGTCAATGAAACGCTATCCGAATGGAAACCGGTCAAAAGTGGTATACCCCAAGGCACCATCTTAGGCCCTTTACTTTTCCTTCTGCATATTAATGAACTACCTTTATTACTTAAGTCGTCGACGTTATTGTTTGCAGATGATGTTAAAATTTGGAGAACAATAAGAAATGAGACTGATCGTTGTTATCTGCAAGCAGATTTAGACGAATTAGTTAGGTGGGCTCATGATTGGGGCCTGGAAGTTAATTCCAGGAAGAGCGTGTTCATGCACATCGGACACGATATTAGTTACCATTATACCATTAATGGTACATCTCTGCCACGCGTTCATGAGCACAAAGACTTAGGAGTAATTATAAGTCACGACTACTACTACTACTACTACTAAGCACTGCAATGCGGTTGCTTCCAAAGGCTTTCGCGAGCTACGGTCGCTTCACAGAGCATTTAAATGCTTTGACGAGGATATGTTTCGAATTTTATATCCCACCTATGTAAGGCCACACTTAGAATACTGTATCCAAGCAGCTAGCCCTTGTCTGACAAAGGATACTAAATCTCTTGAGCGTGTCCAGCGTGTAGGGACAAAATTAGTAAAGGGTCTCTCTAAACTCCCTTACGATGGGCGTTTAAAACGTCTAAATCTTTTCCCCTTATCTTATCGTAGGACGCGAGGTGACCTTATACTGGCATTTTGTATCTTTAATTATGATCTGGGTGTTAATATGTCTTATTTTTTTGCTCCCTCCAGCACTAATAATCTCCGGGGTCATAGCAAGAAGGTTCTGAAACCGCGATCTAATAAACTAAAGGTGGGGTCCCGTTTTTCTCATCGAGTGGTCAATGATTGGAACGCTTTACCAGAACAAGTGGTATCAGCACCATCAGTGAACATTTTCAAAAAGAAGCTGGACCTTCACTGGAAGGAAATCTGTCAGGATTAACACAGGTTTATCAACCTACTATCCTTATTACTGAAGACTTAGGCCTGATGATCACAGACTAACTAAACGACAGATGTGTATCCTAACCAGTCATCGACTGAGAAGATTGACAGATCACTACTTCTAGAGAATATGTCTGGAGATCAGTCGTACCCTAGTAGAAGCACATGTTGAAGTGGGCTTTAATGAATCCAAAATACTTACAACGGGAAAACTTGAAAGAACTCAGCAAACGGGTGGGAATATCAAAAGTGTCTGAGGAAGGACTGTCTTAGCAGCTAGTTGGCTACAAATAGGCTTTTCGTTTCAAGTCAGGTCCACAGGACCTCTAGTCCACTACAAAAATTTTAGTGACGTATGTTAACAGCTTAGAAAGAAATACTAGTGAAAGCTAATGAACCACTAAATTGTTATGCGCTTGGAAACTCACTTAGGTGAACAGTGAACAAATTCTACGATATGGTAGTCACCAGTAGTAAGTATGCCTACAACAAATAGAAAAGGTAGATGTGACAGTTACAACAGCAAACAACCCATTTTTTTACAAAAACAGAGCTTTTTTAAATTTTAAGAACCAAATAATAATAGATACTAGCGATGTATATCTTAAACAACAAGAAATAAATATGGAATGTCCTACTGCACTTTGCTTACAAACGTGCAAAAACGCTATTGGTCAGTCTCTTCCAAAGCGTCGAGGGTCTTATAAGTGGCGCTGGTATTTAAATGGTTCAAATGGTTGAGGACGGAATAGAAGAAGCTTTCGCTTAACGGGCTTCCGCGTCTAGTAGCAGTGAATCACCAATACCTCCAGGCAAAAACCTAGGTATAATAACGATAGTAGGGGGAAAAAGAATTTGATAAATCATAATAATATGTTATCCTTAGTCCTTCAGAATAAGTCAAGTCTCCTCCTAAAGGACTCCTGGGAGGTCGCTTGGACTAGCTCAGTCGGCAGCGAATTCCAGCATTTGACAACTCTTACGGAGTAGAAGTTGTGTCTGCAGTCTGTTCTGCTATATTGAGTCTCCAATTTCTGGGTGTTACCTCTTAGATTAGTGTTGTGACTAAGCTTAAGAAGATGTTTAAGGGGATGAACAGAAGTGTTAAGGATCACCTCTAAGACGCCTGTACTCTAACGGGTAAAGGTTAATTGATTGGAGGCGCTCTTCGAAAGGTTTGAATTTGAGTCCCCGAACTGATTTCGTGGCTCGACGTTGGATATGTTCCAGAGTGTCCTTATCCTTTTGGAGGGAGGGAGGAAATACTATGTTTCCATACTCTAAATGGGGACGAATAAAACTGTTGAAGATTATGTGGAAGGTTCTACCGTCAAACTGGCCAAAAATGAGCTTCAATGTTACCAGTGCAAAGTTTGCTTGAGAGGCGTTTTTGTCACAGTTCGCATACGGTTCTTCTAGAAACTTCTAGAGGGGAGTTACCTAAGTTATAACTATAGTCTGCAACATGTCTCAGATGGACTACCTTGCACTTTGAAGTGTTGAAGGTAAGTCCTTTGTCGTATGCCCAACTTTGAAGTCGGGTCAGATCCTCCTGAAGAACTAGTATATCATGATTACGTATCTCTCTCCAAAGTTTCACGTCATCAGCAAAAAGCAATAAGTCAATACCAAAGATAGTAATAAAAAGAGAAAGTTGGTGGACCTGTCAGTTCTTGAGGCTTTTTCCTGTAGAAGACTCAGCTTCTCCTTAAAGCGTTTGAAGGCTAATCTGGTAGAATTTATCTGTCTACGGGTTCCCGTCAGTGCTTACTTTATGGATATTGCGAAATTTCGACTCAAGTCTATTAAATTGATGCTTGTGAGCTTCTTCTCTATAATCTGTATAACAATTAGCCTGAGAAAAAAGTTTATGGGACATATCATCACATAAGTTGGTATTTATGGTAGGAAATTCTAGTATGAGATAGTGAAGATGCCACAGGTATTTTGAGTTTGCGCACCAACTTCACAACCAAGAATTTCTCAATCTTGATAAGTCTGTGTGGTGCTCAGTAAGATTGTCTACCACCTCCATGTGTCTAGTTGGAATCATCTACAGGAAGCCCACTGCCGACATTGAGTATGACAATCGTCTGCTGGAAGGATTAACTCGCTCTACGCGTCTTGGATTCTCTAAAATCTTGATTCTAGGGTACTTCAATCTCCCTAGAATCAACTTCGTAGAACATACATTGGAGGTGACAACTATACTGAAGCTCTGTTCTTCAATCTCATCAGTGACCTGCGATTATTCGAAAATGTGAAGTTGGCAACTCGTTGGAGAAACAGTCAAACACCGTCGGGCTTAGACTGGGTATTCCTAGTCGACGACCTCTCAGTCCTGGCCCTCTGGGGAAAAGTGACCACGCCGTCCTATCCTTCAGCTTTGTCAGCAAAACGGAGCTAAGGATAAGGACACTCTGGAACATATCCAACGTCGAGCCACGAAATCAGTTCGGGGACTCAAATTCAAACCTTTCGAAGAGCGCCTCCAATCAATTAACCTTTACCCGTTAGAGTACAGGCGTCTTAGAGGTGATCCTTAACACTTCTGTTCATCCCCTTAAACATCTTCTTAAGCTTAGTCACAACACTAATCTAAGAGGTAACACCCAGAAATTGGAGACCCAATATAGCAGAACAGACTGCAGACACAACTTCTACTCCGTAAGAGTTGTCAAATGCTGGAATTCGCTGCCGACTGAGCTAGTCCAAGCGACCTCCCAGGAGTCCTTTAGGAGGAGACTTGACTTATTCTGAAGGACTAAGGATAACATATTATTATGATTTATCAAATTCTTTTTCCCCCTACTATCGTTATTATACCTAGGTTTTTGCCTGGAGGTATTGGTGATTCACTGCTACTAGACGCGAAAGCCCGTTAAGCGAAAGCTTCTTCTATTCCGTCCTCAACCATTTGAACCATTTAAGTTTGACAACGCTTTAAACTGTAGTGAAACTAAAAGTCAGATTCGAAGGTATTCGAAGATATCAATATATCGAGAATCAACTAATCTAGGCTGACGAGTGATTGCAAAGGATGTTGAGCACGGCATTCATAATCGTGATATGGTGCACACGCATGACTAAGAGCCTTAAGCTAGGTGAGTCAACTGAACTAATGTGGTCAGCATGCAATGTCGATGACTTAGAGAGCAATCGGTTCCGGGGATTTGTTTGCTGTTAAAGATCACTTCCCCCTAGTGGGGCAGTGATAACCCTAAGACGTAGCTAGCCAGAAGTTTAAACCCAACGAGTTTGTCTTTGGTAAACACTTGTCTGATAGTGTTATAACGTGACCTAGCCGTCGCCAATTTTTTATGTTTTTGACCTCGACTGTAGCCAATTGTTATGACTTGATCAAGGTCGTCGCTGATTCGTTATGACCTTACGAATTTAACAAGGACGTAATTCGCGTAAATTATCCACCAATAGAATACGACTTCTATGACCTTCACACTGTGACAATGACGCTCGATTAGTATGAGTAATCTAGCGTCCTTATTGGTCCTTATCCGCCTATCCCGTCCACTTGAGTCCAAAACACCAATAGCAGCTGCTGTAATGCGAATCGTTTATTTCAAACATACTTTATCTATATACCAGACAGGCAGACCACACCACACCATAAAATAGAAAATAATATTTGTACAAAACCAGGCCAAATGAGGCTGTAAGCGTGGGAGACAATAATCAATAAAACTGAGTATAACATAGGGACAGTAAATCATATAGTAATAATCAATAGATCAAAATGAAGCTTACAATAAGATGAATATAGATATAGATAATCTAGTTACCGAATAGTTATACAATAAGAATAATAGTCCAATAGTATGTCCTGCAAGTAACCCGTACTTATGTCTTCGCTACTACATAACAGATAGCATGCTATGTTTAGCAAGGTCCGGTCGTCCTTCCTTACAATAAGGAACCATGTAGTACAATACAGTAATAAAGAAACAAGATACAATAAAAATTTCGGTTCGTCGTAAACTTCGTCGTGCTTTCTCATCCTTTCCAGCTGTTACGGAAAAGGAAAAAAACGATATTTAGGTGCATGCTGAATTACGCTCGTGTAAAGACACAAAAAAGACGAAATTAAACCAATGCTCATGCGGTAGCGATAAAACGATTATTACCGAATGGTCTTTTTTTGAAAAACATGATTTAACGATACGTACACTAAATGTTCTGGAAACCTTACTCTCCCTCCAGAATGTGTTGTTTCGAGTCCATTTTCAGATACTGTCAAAGTATCATCGTGAGTGATGGATATCGGATGAGGTATCATAAGTGTAAGAGCCGTGACATTCGATTGTACCGAAGGAACACCAATGTGGATAGGGTTTCCTTCTATATATACTTCTTTGATGTGCTCGATGCTGATGCTATCGTTAGTTCCGTTCTTATCGACTTTATAATACATAGTTTCACACTGAAGTTCACTGAAGGGTCCTTCGTATGCCGTCGAATGGGTCTCGACGTACAGAGACGTGTGTTCTATATCATAAGTCAGGTTGAACGAAAACATCAGTTGACTGCAGTCAAGTTTAATTGAACGCATTGCGTTTGTAAGCCTGCTCATGTAGTAGTTTAGATCCATGTTCACCAAAGAAGACGAAGGTTCCACGAATTCTCCCGCAAGTCGAAGTGCCGTTCCATAAACGCGTTGAGATGCAGTGTACCCAATGTCAGCTTTCACTGCATTGCAGATACCATGTAAGACGAGTACAATAGTGTCGGTTCACTGTGATGCGTTTGCAGATGTTCTCTGTGCGTTTTCTAGGATATCCTAGTCACCTTTTGAACAGGAGCTTGAAGCCTGAATTCTATTTTCAAGCTTAGTTATCAGTAAGGTTGTGTATACTGTAGTGAACATGGTAGTATCTAATTTCATGAATGTCCGTTCTTAAACCCCTGGGTTCTAAACCCCTTAGCTACAACCTCCCGACAATGTGGGGTGGTATTAAGATTATGATTCACTGTCACCCCAAGACCTTGTGAGACCGGACCACGGGTACAAGCACTTGCCTTATGTTGTACCTATTTACCTTTGTGTCCCCAAAGTGTATGTAGACAAACTTGGCCGCGTTGATGGGCACCAGCCAGTCTTTAGACCAACTAATCACAATATCTAAGTCCTCAATAAGTGCGCATACATCCGCGTCTCCTGTTATTTCTCTCCAGGTTTTTACATTATTAGCATATTGTAATACTGGGCACTCAACTACCCTTGGGATTTCGTTTACACACTGTATGAAAATTAAATGACCTAGGACAGAATCCAGAGGTACTCCACTCAGTACTGGTCTCCAGGTTGAGCACTTGGAATTTATTCTTACTTTCTTTCCATGGCCCACTAGGAAATCCTGTGGTCATTTTAGGAGAGATCCGGCAATATCAATATTTTCTAGCTTCAAGAGTAGTCTATTTGTTAGTACCTTATCAGATGCTTTGGTGGAGTCTATGTAGACCATATCCACTGATTTTCCATTGTCTAGAGGCTCTATCTATTGCTACCTTGCCATAAGGAGGTTGATTGTGCAAGATAAACCTTTTGTGAAACCATACTTTTTTATGTCTAATAAGTTATTGGTTCCCATAAGTGTCATTACGGTCTTTTTGACTATTCTTTCCAGTATTTTAACCACAGCACTGGTAAGGCTGAGAGGTCTGTAGGTTGATGGAAGTTGTGTTAGTCCAGTTCTGTGTATTGGGGTGACGACTGAATCCTTCCAATCCATAGACAACTCACTTTCGTCAAGTGACATATTGAATATCACAGTCAGTGGGGCTGCAATATATTGTGCAATTTGTTTCGGGATTTCGGGGTGTAGTTCATCCAGTCCTGCTGACTTTTCCGTGTCTAAAGTGTTAAGATAGTTAAGTACATCATCTCGATGAACATCCAAGGTGAGTAGATGGTTTGTTGACTTCGTATTCGGATCTAGTTCTTCGTCTATAGGAAACTCCTGAGTGAAAGCTGCCTCAAAATAATTCACCATAACCTCTGATTCTTCCTATTCATCTTCTGTCATTTCGGATCCACACCCTTAGTTAATTAGGTTGGGAATCTAATGCCGCAACCTTGTTTTGTAATTTTGGTACGGGAACAGTCTCTTATACTGCTTGATTACTGATTGTGCCAAATGCATTTCATATTTTCTCTGAGATTCCAGGATTGTAATTATATACTTATTTCTTACTATATAGTCAATAAAAACACTTCATCGAAGCCTTACCCACAGTCCATAATTTGTAAGTCTGATAAGCTTGTAACATAGAAACAGTGTTTTCCAACAGGATGTGAAACACAGAGCACTGTGTGAGGTATGATATGTATCCAAAAAATAAGCGTAAATGAGCCTATCATCACAAAAGGAGGGAGGGTGGAGTTACTGACCAGCAAGCACTGACGGTGAGGGCGATGATTTCAATCCACCCGTGTTTGTGGGGCAGAACATTTTGTTTGTATCAGGCTCTTTATGGATGAGAACAAGTCAATCAATCTGTGATATTGAGATTGTTCTTGTTAGGTCGGCTTACAATAAACTATCAGAGCCTCCAGAGAGGCTCATAAAGAGCCCAACCAATCAGCGATTAGTTAGAAGCTATGCTACTAAAATAATGAGGTCCTGATTGGCTGTTAAACATATTGCTACTATGGAATCTCAAGGTCTTTTCAATTACTATAAAACCCCTGTTTTTTCTGTACATAAAGGAACCTTGTAGTAAAGTGATTCTCTGATACTCGTGTCTTCTCTCTGGTCTTTCAAGTCTCTGAGTAGTGCTAGCCTGGGGTTATCCGAATAGCTAGGATCGGAATAAAGCATTCAACCTACGAGACATAACAGTTCTCCTACACTCACCATTCAGACTCATGTTTCCAACTTTTGTGCTGGATTAACTATTCTACTAAGACAACCTTTAACATGCTAACTCGAACTTTTACATGAAAACTGTGTGGCAGGCATCGGATGATGAAAAAAAACAGACTGTAAAGGATATGGTTGCTATTTTACTCAACACTCTACTCTCTATATGCACTCTCTGTTCTTCCTCATACCAACCTTGATTTCCCTCCTTCATTGGAACCTACTCCATCTTGATAAATATCACAGCTCATTGTTCTTTGTCACTGCATGCTCTCCTCTGGAGCCCCTAATCACAGTTCACCCTTGCAACATGAGATAGTACCAATTTAATCTAATAATTTATCATACCTCCATCTGTTCCAATAATAAATGTTAAGCATTAGTTATCGTTCATATCCAAATGCCTTGCTACTCCTCAGTTTTTTTTCTTTTTTTTCTCTTCAGAATCTTGCTCTGAGGGTGAACTGTCACTTCTGACATCTGGAACAAGCTTGACGAACGCGCTTTCCCAAGGTCACAGCTCGAACCAGGCGCTCCACAATCCTACTTTATCACAACTATAAACTTAAAAAGCTGCGTTACATAAATACTTAGCACGACCGAAACCCTAATACACTTTTTGTCGAGATTGGATCTCGTATGTTACATGGACGCCATGCCCCTTTGGAAACTATTCTTATGAAAACACATTATATCTGAACGAATGAACTGCTATCAACTTTTATAGATTATAATTACTAAACAACCTTGCTTGGGATGCATACTGTGAACCAGTATATGTTTTAAATTGTAGATCATGCCTGTAAAAATGGCGTGTACCTGCTATTGCAGAAATATATTATTATTATTACTGATTTCTTACCGACCTGTAGCGTTCTATAGTACTTGCTGTGCAAAAGCTGATGGCGACGTCCCAATTTTTCTTCTTTCGTCTTAATAAATGTAGAATATCCCGGGCTATTCAGAGACGACCGTGCTTCTTCTTTGAGACTGTCCAGAGTATATATGGTTTAGTTGACTGCTGTATAACTGCCTGAAATGAGTCCATGCCTCTTCCACTGATACCCGTGAATCAATTATTCAGTTTTCAGCCGATGCTTCGGAGTTGATCGCCTTCATATCTGCCTTACATATGTTGAGACAAACTGGTGCAACTAATTGACAGGCCATCTCAGCCATAAACTTGAAAAAGATGACTGCTTGATCACTTCTCCGTAGAGGTGGCAGGAATGTCATTTAACCGACGTTGTCAGGTGTGTTAAGACTAACTTCAAGAGGGACGAGGAGCTTCGTAGGTCATATCTGGGGGGATCTCTTATGTACTGAGATAAAGTAAGAGAAATTGTGATTTCAAACATTTTTTTATCAAATGGCGTTCTAAGTTTACCTAGTATATATACGGTGCATTGAAGTCGCCCACTATAAGGCTTTTACCCCTATTACACCAGAAATTAAGTTCGCTTAGGAGGAAGTCGTCAACCACACATTTTGGAATGAGATAAATTACAAATAATTCAATATTTTGCAGTCCACATTTTAGCCTGCAACGCACCAGTACTTATTTCCCTGAATCACATGTCACTGTCTCAACATCTTGTATGATTAAGGTACTTTCTGTGTACAGGATGCATGTCTCCTTATTTACATTTCACTATTACATTTATATTCCACGTTAAAATGATAATTAGTGCGTATTCACTAGTTTTGTCTCTTTTCACTTCCGTCTAGTCGTTACATTTACCCTTGCCTAGCTATACTCCTTAAGCGATTGATTTATCTACATTTGGCATTTGTCTTCTCTTAGCTCTCGTAGTTTGTTACTTGGAGGGTCATATATTGCGATAAACCGATTACCTGTCGATAAAATTTACATCTCGCGGTTGCAGAATTTTTTCTGTCATGGGACAAAGGTATTCACACAAATTTTAAGATATATATACCTTCGATTAACTGTTCTCAGTAGAACTAGTACAGTCGGATAGCTAAATTAGGAGCCACCGAAATGTGGAGACCATGCCTGGAAATCAAGAAGCAAGTGCACAAAAATCATTTAAATCACACAAGCCTGATATCATAACGTCAGATATTGAACAATTGAAATCCTTAGTTTTGTTTGTCCAAGTTTGCGCATTAACTCGTGAGTGCCTGCTGTAACTGCGCTTCGAGAATCTGCTGGTTGGTGACATGGTTGGTTTCTTGTTCCGTTAACTATGTTAAAAGGCTGCTCGTGCATTTAAAAAGTTTGCCCCTCTTTATGACCGAGTTCTGGTCCAACGTTTTGAAGCTGAAACCAGAAGTAAAGGTGGGATCATGATACCAGAGAAAGCTAAAGGCAAGGTTCTTGAAGCAACTGTGGTTGCACATGGTCCTGGATCGAGAAATGAAGTAAGTTATTTATTATTAATTGTACTTTCTGTAGAAAGGTGAAGTTGTCCCCGTGTGTGTCAACGTTGGTGACAAAGTTTTCCTTCCTGAGTACGGTGGTACTAAAGTCGTACTGGACGAAAATGTAAGTACTGTTTAAATTAAGTAGAATGTTTGCAGGAGTATTTCCTTTTCCGCGAAACTGACATTTTGGCCAAATTCGAAAATTGACCGGTGTTTTAGATCTAGTCCCCACACCATTGTACACTGATTAATCAAATACCATAGTTTTTCACCTTTAATAAATCTTTTCGTATATTAATTTTGGGTTATTGCGGTATGACGCATATCGTAGACACCATTCATGTAGTTGTACAAGGTTTACGTTTACTGGAGTGGTTAAGGATGTTCAGCTGTTGTGTGTACTGAATGCTGTTTGTGAACATGTAGTTTTAAGAGCAACTGGGGGTAACCAGTTGTTACATGCGATACCGTGTTCATTGTATTTCTATCATAGCACTGTTATGGTGGTTCGGAATATAAGTAACTCTACACGCATATATTTGACATACGCTCCACAAGACATGGCTTATTTACGAAGAACTGGTGGTAGGACTGGTGTTTACCTGCTTACTTTAAGTGCTTATATAATCGATGCAGTGTGCTGTTAGGTTGCTTAGGATTGCACAGAACTCGTATCTACCCCCCTTGATACTTGCTGCGTGATTTAACGGTCCGCTGTAGTGTTTTCGCGTAGTTCCATTTGTGCACTCATGTGGTTTCGAATACCTAAGGCTTTCGAAGGTATGGTTGGGCTTTAGCCTTAGCGGGTAGGTTACTTGGCAGTCTGCTGCGGTGTAATTTAGATTGAATAGGTGTTTATTACTCAATGTCAGCCTCCCATCGAGACTTTACGGCAGCTAGCACAGCATTCTAGTTGTCACTTTGGAATAGGTGGTGTTTCATTCCGCTATTGCTCTCCCATAATTGATAAACATTCATACTGAGTGGCCAATATCGTTACTCGGTTTTACGCCTCGCAATCATTGATGTGAACAGATGTAGATGGTTGCATAGTCTTGTACTTGTCTATGTTGATAAGACTCCATATATCTTGCTTTCGCCTCAGTGATACAAACCAACTTGTCATATCTGGTCCCTTTTAGGAAGCGCGACAAGAAACTAGAGATGACGTTATTTCACTCCATCCCATCATTTTAAAACTAAACATATGTACACTAACTTCATAAATATAATGTCTCGCGAATATTTTTCGTAGGGAATGTACGGTGTTTCATTCCGTTATTGCTCTTTCATAATTGATAAACATTCTTACTGAGTGGCCAGTATCGTTACTCGGTTTTATGCCTTGCAATCGGTGATGTGAAGAGCTGTAGATGGTTACGTAGTCTCGTACTTCTAGTGGTGTATTTTGTTGGCAGTTTCTAATATATACAGTAAAGTTTTCCATTAATCATGGACGTATTACAAGCACCTATAATTTGGTGACCCTTCAGTGGTTAACTGTCAGT